CATTTGACTCAGTCGATCGTGAGGTTCTGTGGCAGTGTCTGTCATTGAGAGGTGTACCAAAGAGGACATTAACCTCATACAAGCTCTCTACTCGAACACCACTGGTCGAGTGAGAGCTTATGGCGAACTGTCACTGGAATTCTTTACTTCAAGTGGTGTCCGTCAGGGATGTCCACTTTCTCCATTCTTGTTTAACTTTATCATAGACATGCTCCTAGAAATAACCGTATCCTCGTCTGAATCTTCAGGAGTAGACCTTCTACCAGGTGGCTCGCTTATTGACTTAGAATATGCCGATGACATAGTCCTACTTGGTGAAGACGCTGACAAAATGCAGAGTCTTCTGACTACCATAAGCAACAATACAAGCATGTTCGGGATGCGGTTTTCCCCCTCGAAATGCGAAATGTTGCTTCAAGATTGGGTTTCATCGGCACCTGAACTAGTGATAGGAAGTGATGTAGTCGAATGTGTTGACCGCTTCACATATCTTGGGAGTCTCATCAGAGCTGATGGCCTGGTGACTGACGAAATCTCAGCATGGATATAGAAGGCTCGATTGGCTTTTGTCAACTTACCTCATTTATGGCTTAGGCGGGATATCCGTTTGCTGACTAAAGGACGAGTGTACTGCGCAGTAGTTCGCTCCGTCTTACTTTATGGCTGTGTAACATGGCCAGTGAGAGTAGAAGATATTCGTAGGTTACTGGTTTTCGATCATAGGTGTCTTCGAAGCATTGCTCGTATATCGTGGGACACCCGGGTGAGCAACGCTGTTATTAGGAATCGGGTGCTAGGTAAGAATGGCAGATCAATAGATGAAGCAGTGAAAATTCCTCAGTTGAGGTGGTTGGGACATGTGTTGCGTATGCCCAACCACCGACTGCCTCGTCGAGCTTTGTTTTGTAGTGTAGGAGTAGGTTGGAAGAAAGTTAGGGGCGGCCAAACCAAAACATGGCAGAAATCCGTGAAGTCATTGACGAGTGGACTTAGCCATGTCGGTAGTTGTCGACTACCTGGTTGGGGTCCGCGAGATGATAATAATCGATGGTTAGAGACCTTGAATGACATGGCTCAAAATCGTTCGCAATGGCGCCGGTGCATTTATTCTTTGTGTTCTCTCAAATCCTAATCTTCTGGATTCTTCAACCCCTCTAGTTTTGACTTTCTAAACTTTTCTCATTAAATCATACTTCTTGAATAATATCTTCTAATCCTAACCTCTCTGATTACTTCTAATACCTTTACTACCTCTTCTACTATTGGATTTGAATTGACAATTACATCTCTGTGCTGATGTGGTATGGCGACATGAACTGATGTACTTACGTACGAAGTTCTACGTTGTATCTGACTGACTGAGTGACTGACTGGTTTTCCTATTTTACTGAGTAACTCTGTAATTTCGGTTGCCCTCACCTGTGTTCTCCTTCACTACAGTTGTTACTCGTCCTATTCATTTCAAAATGTTACTGATGAGAAGTAAATTGTATTAACAATTTTAACTGGTAATTTGCGTTCAAGTGAAGTGTAAATTAAAAGTTTTTGCATTTTAAAAAAAAATACAATATATTACTAATATTACCAATATTCATACTTCAATAACCTACTTTTAGAATATTTATGTGACGAGATTACCTTTTGCAAAAACAACTGTGATTTTTGCCCGCATTTGTCAACGGATAAGTGGTGTAACACTAATTATGTTGAATATCTTACATCTTGTAATAATTAATTAACAAGGTGGTTGATAAATCATAAAAGTACAATAAAGTACAGAAACTACTCTGAACGCTACTCATTTCTCATAAACAAAAACAAAATCAAAGAGATTACATCCACCTAAAAATGTGTGCTAATATTTTAAAGTACTCATTTATTTTGCTTCTATTTCTATTATATTTTTTCACGGTCTTATTAAGGTTAATGTTTATGGTGCATATCTAACAGTAATTAGGTGGTGCTTAATTATAAAACTATTTTAGTTTTGTTTCATGTACCATTGTAAACAATTTTAATTAGAATAATTATTTATCGTTTCTAAAATAAAAGGAATGGTGTCATTTACATCTGTATGATATGATGATATCCCGCATCAGTTTATCTTGCGCTGCAACTTATTCGACATAATATTCAAACTATCAAACACCCAAATCAAACAGAAATCTAGTCACAACCAAAATACAAAATCACTGCCGGAATGTCATGGAGTTATGGAGGTTTGAGTCTTTTCACTTTAAATATAGCAAATCTGACACTCAGTCACTTCGAAAATTGTTTACGCATTCTCTGGAGGCAAGTACCTAACCTAACTATCAGAAAACCACACACACAATACTGAATTGTATATCTGGAGATAAGATTGACTTGATAAATTGTAGGCCTACAAACATTACTCCAGTTATATGTGGAATGATGTACAACATTGCACGTGACAAAATTTTCAACTGATTACCTAGTGAAAAACGTATCAGTAGTTTAAAATATGGTTTTCTTGAATATATAAATCTCTCATAACTTGTCACTTTGACTTCTTTAACTTGAATTTAGTTAAACGTAGCCCTAGGCATGTAATCTCAGTATGGTACACTGAGTAGTTAAGACTTTCGATATGGTTATTCACCATACAGGACTCACACCGCTATAGGCTTAGGATTCAAGTATTCCCATATTTTGTCCTTCCAACAGAACTGTAAGTCTCAAAAATCTCCTGTGTGAATAATACATCTCCTGTATAATGATGACTCACATATTTTGGTGTGGAAAGTATTTGTCCCATCACTTCTTGAATTCTATATTTTCATTCTTAACAGTATTTGCACTAAGGATAAACTTGAGATGGAATCCATCATGCATCTCTTTACAAACTGAATCATTAGGAGTTATTGGACTTTGAACAACAAATTCCAAATGCCCTAAGCCTGAACTTGATAATTCATCGAGGCAGTCGCTAAAATTAAACATGGCTTTTTCTCAAGATTCTAAGTAAAATATTTAATGCAATACGGTATGCAGAATCAACCAGATATACCATTCGTAACTGATAACTAAATGTGAAATATTTCATTCTAGCTAAATGTTCTACATGAATTATTTTGTTCACAAAACTTAAAACATTGGAATAATTTACCACAGTCTATCTGATAAACAAATGCATTCGTTATTTGTCAGCTACATCAATAGTGACTTCTCCTACGGTAGTGTATTAAAAATGCTTGCTTGAAATTATAGGCACATCAGAGATTCGACCACTATTACCACTTAGTGTACTTATTAAAGTTGTCTTTGATATACTACGCCTACACTATTCCTGGTTAATCTGACTAATTGAAATATCTTTTCAAATTGGTAGCATATTAAACAATCTATCGCGTATAGGACGACAAATATTCCTGTTACATTTCCTATTTCTCTGTGATCTCTACTTTCACATTGTTCATGTCGATTACTGGTAGCAACTCATTACGGAACAGCAAACGTTTTTCAATGCACTATTTCTACTTCAAAATAATGTCACGATTCTCCTATTGAGAAAATACTGATTCTCAACTCCTGTTTCCTATTATGAATATTATTGTCGCTGTAATTAGAATCATTTCATAACCACTGATTGACCATATTCTCTCAAATAATTTATCCATAAGTCTTCGTGTTAAGTGTGTTACACTTTTGTCTTTAACAACCTAATCATGTTTATAAACCAATATTCCTTCAGTAATGATCTTTACAATCTAACCTATATGTATGAAAAAGACCATGAATAACATTGTCAAACTCATTGAAAGCATCTAAGTTTACCTGATGTAATGATATACATACACATATTTAAGTGACAAATTTTTGAAACCATGAATCGATCAATGTTAAACCACCATTAGAAACCTGGAAGCACTGGACGGCCGTTTCTAATGGTGGTCTAACATTGATCGATTCATGGTTTCAAAAATGTGTAACTTAACAATCTTCACAAGCCCGTAATGCACATATTTAAGTGACAAATTGTGCTACTGTGTGTTATCATATTATCTCATTTCATTTCTTTGAATAGTACATTCTACCTGTTATGATGTAGAGTGATGGTACAGTTTATATCATTATCGATGAAGCTTTAAATGTATAAGAAACAACAGTAGGATGCAGCTAATGAGTGTTTAACATGACATGTCATGGATTTCAGAGCTCCTTAGAATTCATCTCTTGCTTAAAAAAATGACATGATTGGATTTTTTGTAGGAAGCAGAGAAAAAGAGGAAGATTGAAGAAATGTGTGGAACGCTTGAAACAAATAATACAGAGCAGTTAAACCGTAGATTGTTTCACCTTTATAGATAGATAAAATGAAAAGCAACTTCACATATGTTCAGTGTCAATTTTTATCGTATTTGTATATTTCATGTGGCATGTTGTACAGAGTTATGTAGGACATATTCATAATAGTTGTGAATAACTCCAATCTAGAAATGTGAATTCTTTGTGAAAATTAGATATTTTGACATAGGTCGAGTACACATTTTTCTTCGATGAACTTATTTACTTTCTACTGGTTGATGTCTGATTACAAAATTAGTGACTAGTGTAACTTTGTCTTATACTACATAGTAGAAAAATAATTTGGTAGATTTACTGTTTAATGAGAAGCAATGACAATAGAATTTTATGATAAAAAAAGAGTACACTACCATAGATACCTTACAGATTTCATTGAGATTTGAGATCAAAAACACGTTGAATAGAAAAATTACATTACCATACTCTATGTTTAGCTAGGCGATTGCAGGAACATGTATGAAGCCAAGGTGAACAATGATTAAACTACTACATATTTAACATTAAAATTTTCAGAAAACAATTCAGAAAAGAATTATAACAGCCATCACCTTATTTACATTGCTATCTTTCCTAAATTTCTAGACATTTATTGTTAACGTTAACGCGAATGCTTCACTTGTAATATTTTAAATAATAACAAAATTGAATTACACTGACAAAATTATACTCACTTATATACAATGTTTCATTTTCAACGTTCTTTGAGTTACACCAATATTCATCATCCTAAATGAAAAATATTTATATTATCAAAATGCTAATGTTCAAATCACCGATTCTGTTTTCGCTGTTAGCATTATATCATAAGTGTTTTTAGTGTTGGGATACGCGAAAATTCCACAAGTTGTAATGAAGAATAAAACGCAATCCCTTAGCATTTTGTTACGAAAACCAATTTCTCAAGAAATTAATTAATGCTAAAAATTTAGTGTCAAGTTTTATGTAATAAATTTGAGACTAACAACTCATAGATTGGATGGAGAGAGTAAATAGTAATTTGTATGCGTGGGCGATATTACATCACTGAGATTTTTTTTGCAAGAGCTTATACGCTTAGGTGAATAGTAGATCCATGTCCCACCCCACCCTTTATCAAAATACAGGCATGGATACTAAAGAAGCAATTGAGTTAGTCACCCATACCAAAGCTTCTAAATCTCACCAATCAATTTTTTTAATAGCCAATCATTTGTGAGCATAAATGCTTATCTGCTTAAATAGTACATCAATCAATATTTAGCTAACCTTGATCCACTCCATCTGTCTGTCTATCTAACATCTACCTATCTTTTCTCTAATTTGTCACACCCACTCAATGATTCCTCTTCCATCAAGGGAAAATACTCATTGAGTGAAACAAGTCGATTTATTTGTAGCCAAATTCCTAAAATATCACAAAACAATAATAATGCACGGACACGTTAAATATGAAATAGTTGATCGACTCACAGACATTTAGGGCTAAGTTAACCCATTTGAATTATTTCACATTGAAAAATTCGCTACTTTTCCATTCTCACTTAACAAAAATGACCTGAAGTTCAAGAGAAGGTCGGTTAGTGGCATTACCGACACAACTTTGTTGGTTTCCCTTGGATGGATGTATTGAATTACTTCAAAACAAGATGATTAGCATCGGTCTGTCGGTAAGCAAATATTATAGTAATTAACAATCATTTGAAATTAACACACAAAAATACTATATTCCAGAGAAACTTGGAAGACTTGTGATTTAGTTGTTTAATATTACGATGTAAATTTATTAAATATAACGAACAACAATCACAAATCTCCATGTGAAATCTGGTTAAACAACTGATGGATTCTGACTATAAATTCTGTTTTTGCCGATATATGCAGTTTTTGCGTCAAAAGTTAGTTTTTAGTGTTATTCCTCATGTAAATTTATAATTCTAACTCGTTTGAAACCCTATAAAGTTTATTTAAATTAAATAAGAAAAATATTCTCTACATTACAATACAATAAATGATGCTAAAAAATAATACTCGATGGTTTTAAAATTTCTTAGAAAGCTATGAATGAATTGAACCGCTTATAAATGATTGGGAGGTTGCTTATTTTACACTTTTCTGCCTATCGTTACACAACTATAATTTGAGTAATCCAAATAACTTTTACAACTGATTCACAGTCATTGTTGTTCATAATGTCGGCTGGTATGGACCTGTATTCCATACCAGTTTATTCAACAATTGAAAAGAGAAATCAATGAAAATTCATCCAACGAAGTTACTGACCAGTGAATCATGATACGATTAACAAGATAGCTGAAAGATAGGAAATTTACTACAGTGCTATCCGACTGATATATGATGTCATGATTTTATTAAGTTCATATATTTCTGGGGTCTATTATAGCATCAGATTAGAATTGATAAGAAATAGCCCATATCTTAGCCAAATAGCAACGGAAATTCTGGAACTAATGAATGACTGTTTTTCCTGGTTTGGGACTCCCCTTGACCTCGCATGTGGGAATCGAATGCATAACTTTTGGTCATGTGTTCGAAAACAGCTTCCATATCAATGATCCGGGATTCGGCGATGTTCGTGTCCATCATTTCTTACATTCTCTATAAACAGCAGTTACATATTTAAACAGATGAATTATCGTTTTTGAACCAGTTTTTATTATGTCAATCTTTGTTAGTCACATATTGTTTTTGTTTTCTGTCCATTATTCTAACTTAGCACTTGATCATTTGAATTTGGAAAAAAGTCAGTTTTGAAATGTATCATATATTTCATATTCATTGTGGTAGAATATACATATAAATATTTTGAAATATTTTCAGTATAGCCATTTGAATACTCTTTCTGTGTTATTAAAACAAATAATTTTGTACACTTGAAATACAAAGCATTGAATTAGAGTTTATTTTTTCAGATATTTTACTTTTTGATATTTTTCGAAATCGTTTTATTTATTCTTAATGAGTTTATAAGCACTTGATAAATATGTAGATTGCTAAAAGAAAACATCGATTTTTTCTAATATGGACCATAACAAAAATATATAACATTACTTTTTGCAAATATCTATTTAAACAATGAATGACCATAGTTTGTATGCATTAGGCTTCAGGTCAACAATGAATTTTATTTGAACTTGGCTTTCTGTAAATCTTTTGTTTTAGTAGAAAATGTAGGTTAAGTTTCAGAAACACTTACTGTCTTACCTATTTACGCCTATTGCTTCTAACGGAGCATTCGCTGCCGACCAGCATTCTCCAACCAACTCTGGCCTGGATTTTCACTTCTAGTTCTACCCAATTGCTGTTCATTTTTTTTCATGTCTGCTTCCAATTTTCTATGTAATGTGTTCGTGGGTTTCCCTCTGTTCCTTTGACCTTAAGGATTTCAAATTATGGCTTGCTTTGTGACATAGTTGGATGCTTTTCGCAACGTATATCCAATTCACCTGAAGCATTTCTTTCTAATTTCTTCCTGAGCTGGACTCTAGTTTGTTTTCTCCTGAACTTTCATTCTTTATCATGAAATGCATTATGTAAGTTTTTTTATATTTTTAAAACACGTAAAAAGCGCTTTTGACAGTTACGAATAACATGAGACATTGTCTAATAGTTTCTTTATGACTACTTTTAAAATTTTACCCCACTGAATGGTTTAAACCTTGAATTGAATATAAAATTTAGTTAAATAAATCTTTAATTTTTTTTTGTGTATGAGATAAAGCTCATATACATTTTTTCACTATGTTAATCGGCCTTATACAGTTAATAGTTAGAATATTTGACCATTGAAATACGCTATAACTTAGGATTCATAACTTATATAATCCCGTAAACTATGCAAATGACTGTGATTTATTTCAAAGCCATAGCTTAAATATCTAAACTTTTTCGAACTTTTCATTGACAAATAGTTTGAAAATTCACTTAAGAATAATTAGAGTCAGTATGATAAGGTGAGAGTGTTAATTCAATGAATTCCATACAATACGATATACAAAAATACAAAATTTTCTATAATTTTAATCAGTTGAAAGCGGTTTCCGTCAAAACCTTGTATTAGGTGAAGAATCACTACAAACCAGAGAGCATTTGATATATGGCCCTTTCTAGTTTGTGACTGTTTATTCATGTGTATTCATATATTCATATATTCAAGTTTTATCGCCAATGTGATGAAGTGTTTAATATGACACCATGAACGAAACTTTGAAAACACTAAATTCCTTGAAATTACTCCTGCACTAGAACAAAAGAGAAACTTTCAGTGACATTCATATATCAAACTGAGATCGATAAAATGGTAAAGCGCGCAAAAAATTGTTGATTAAGTTTAGTTCAATCATCAAGACGAATAATACGATATTTCTGGCTGGATTGTTATAAATCAAATGAAATATTTTTTTATTCTCTATTATTTGATAACAAATATTACAGATCATGATGCATTTCAAATTTACATGTTTGATTACAGTTTATAAAAAAGAATCTGTAAAACAAATATTGAATATAATCAAGTTATACCATATCTATGAATATTTATGATAAGTAGTTTAATATATATACGTTTAGTTATTTATTATACATGGTTTGCATATACTCTCATTGTAGACCATAACTAAATGCATATCTCCTGTATGTTTCAAGTTTCACAGAGAGTTTTATTTACAAGTACTCTACCATTCATCATTATCATTGATAATTCTGTTTAACTCTAGTAGGTTCTTTTATTTTTCATTTTGTTAAACATCAGTAGTTATTTTATGTCACTAAGGAAATCAAACATTTGTTGTTGTTACAATTTTTTTCAGCTGTCAGTTAGCAGAAAAAAAAATGTACATTCCTACAAATCCTATTACAAAAATAAAAAAATAGCATTCAATTCAAAAATATCTATATATATTCAATAAAAATTGAATTGAATTCCTTCAAAAACTAAAGCGTAAACTAAAAAAAAAGCAAACAAAACAACCTTGATGCTATGATTTATATTTTGTAAATTTTATTCATTGAAATTCAAATAAAATGCACCATTTAATTCTTTTTAAGTGAAATGAATCAACAAAGTAGTTGAAGATTTTCTTACTTCTTCACTTTAAAATAACTTTTAGATTATTATTATTATTATTATTATTATTATTATTTGAGAGAATAATAAGTGTACGAAAATGAAATTAAACTAAATGAGACAAGTTTTTAACCACTTCTTAGCTAACTAGAAAATAGCTTGTGTCAATAAATTTTCTAAAGATTATAACAGTAATACTATAAGGCGTAAAAAATATTTATAGAATTAATGAATCTATTAAAGTATTTTAGAGTTTTTCCGTCTGTAAATCGATTGAACAACACATGTAGATATATAATTCATATTCGACCCACCAACTTGTATCAGAACGAGAATATATTTTTAAAAATCTCTATGTAGTTTCTAGTTAATATTAATATTACAAGGTTATGGTTTTCATCACGAATTCGTATCAAATATATTTATTTCTAAATGCTTTGTAGTTTTTGTTATATGGATGTATTAATTTTGCAAAAGACCAATAATTTGTTTATCATATTTATTCTAACTAATTTAAGACATATTAGCGTACATAGATGGTGGCTAGCAGTGGAATCCAGTACGCGCGTTTCATCCTATTCAGAACTCATCAGCTGGATGTAGCTCCATCTCACAGATGATATTCACTTGGGAACTTGGACCCAATGACGTTTGCTTCAAACGCCATCATGTTATCTATTCAGATAGCCACTGTTTTGTGCAATGAACTGAAGTTCGATTCATTTGTATCGGTAGTTTGAATCTTTCCGTTGATGTTTAGGATTGCAATCGATTAGTCAATTTTATATATGTACATCCTGTGTGGATTACCTGAAGATTGCCTTTAACTCACAAGCGTAGTTATTCAGACTTGATAGTTAAGTGGGTAAGGCGTTGGAGTTAAAA